ATATAACTACAGACGGAGTTTCTGCCTAAAAGTGAGAACCTAGGTACTGTGTAGTATGCAAAATTCGTTCATCAAAATTCCGAGCTCGATTTGATGGTATAGGACTAGAACTGTTTTTAGGTATACCCCAAGAAAACAAGGCTGTATTTTAGCAACGTGTAATAACGACTCAGAGTTTCACATTCTCTCTCTTTTCCCTTTAGATTTTCATTGCACGCTAAGGGGAACTTTTCAAAAGGGTTACTATTCTCTCCCACTATTTTTCTCTTTTTCCCTCTAGTTACACTACTAATAGTCGTCCACGTCGTTGTTGTTGGATCCGATCTCCTTCCTATTGGTAGGCAGGAGAAACTCGTTTGAAATGGGCTCATCTAGAAACTGGAAAAGGGTCATTATCGCGTAGGGAAGTAGCCGATATTTGCATTTCCAACTTAGTCGACGATCTTCCTTTGGAATAGTGCTAACAAACTTGGTGGTGGTACTAAGGGACGAGGTGTGACGAGGTTACTTGGTTGCTTGCTTGCTTGCTTGCTTGCTTGCTTACTTGGACGTGCCTATTAGAGGCAGTTTAGTACTACTCGTAAACGGCATGTACTAGGCGATTTTCCAGTCTACGCTCTCATCAAGTGCGTCATTGAAATGCGAAATGGTTTAGAGCTTGGCTAAGACCGAGGAAAATTTCACGTTACGCGATAAACGAATAATTCTCATCAATAATTTGACTACGATCTATCATCGAGTCTCACATAGACGAATCTATAGATAAATGTTTAATGTATTATACAATATATTTCCTAGATTGATGCGAATGTGTGTTATAAGGTTAAAACATTTACAAAGTTTCTAAAGTTCTTTCGATTGTTCGATATTCACTCCTTGATACTTCAATAGAGATTGGACACAAAGTGATTACAACGGTTCTAATCGGTAGAAGTGAGTTTTGACAGGAGATCATAGATATACCTACTCTATTCCAAAGTTTGATCTTGAGCTTGATCCCTACAATTTCTAACAACAAACTTGAACTTTAGTGTTTCATTCAACTGTTCTCTACACATTAACGTTATCGATATCATCTTCGTCGTTATCTTCATTGTCTTAACAGATACCAAGATCCATTCCCATCTGTTCAGTGATACTCAACTTTTTGATGTTATTTTATGCCATCGAAATATTCGAATATTATATTAAATATAAAGCACATTGAAGATGTCGTGTATGTTCGGTCAAAAATTAGTAATTTATTTTCTTTATTTCTTTTTTGTTTAATGAGAAAATTATTATTTTGAATCAACTACCTATTACTGTGTACTAAATCTAATTTTTCCCCATTAACAATATTTCCACCATAGTTTTATTGTATACTTATTTCAACTATAGTTTGAATGCCAATATCTTGGGAACAATTATTAAAAACTAATTTCGTTGAATGTTTTTTTTTTTTTTATTTTAAGATACCACATAGTTAATTCAACAATCTTTATAAAAAATAGTTAAACATTTATTGATAAAAATCGATTGAACTAACGATAACAATAAAAACGAAAAATTACCAAAAATTGTTCGAACACCTTCGATAGAAATAGTGTTAAAAATTTGTTTCGACTAACAATAACTCGGATTAACGTCGTAAATGTTGATAAATTACTTTTTGACAAAACATAGATGATAATATTATCTAACATATCTCGCGTTGAACATTTGGAAATCTAATTGCAAGTAAGAAGTGGATCGATTTGCAAAAGATAAAAGAACGGAAAGAAAAGAAAAGAAAAAAAATGACAACTGAGAAATAAATGGATCAGGACTGAGAGAACGATAAATAACACAGTAAAGCCGTTTGATACTTGGCCTCCTCGATTACAGCTCGATCGGTGGGTGGTCGATCGCATTTAGAAAGAAGCGTCCACTCGGCGACGCGAATTTGCCTCCTCTTAAAGCTACTTCTCCGCTCCAATTTTCCACAAGAATGTGACACGTAGCAATCTTCGTAACCTCCGGGCCGTGCCGCACGATTTATTGGCCGCCGAGTGTACCACCGACAATTTATCTTCTCGCGACGTTCATCCTCCCTTCACCTTCTCTCCTCTTCCTCCATTTCCTTCTCTTCCTTCTTCTTCTTCTTCCTCCTCCTCCTCCTTCTTCTCTTCTCTACCTCCAGGTTCTGTTGAACCCTCTCTCATACCCTTTACTCGTTTCACCGACGCCATCTGGGAGGCACGCACGTCTTTTCTGCTTTGCTTTGCTTTGCTTCTACTCTTTACCGGTCCAATCTTTTACGATCGGTTACGAATCGCGACGTGATATCGCAATGTTTCTCAACCTTTCGAATAACTCGAAGAAAATATTTAACTATATACCGATCGTCTCTTCGATTCAATACCTTCTTAAAATATAACATTACATGTCAAAAGTTTTAGAATCATTATATAAAGTCAGATAATCAGAAAATTTATCAATATAAGGAAAGAAATTAAATAAAGTTCTTTAGAATAACCGAGAAACATTTTATTTGCAAATTAAAACTTACAAATAGTACGTTTGCTAGTTTTAATATCATTTCTTCTCTTATTTTATTTTTCTTTTATCATCCTGATAATCAGCCTTTTTAATTCAATATTTTCCGTACTTCTTATAGAAGTCAGCTAAAATGTACCAATAAGAAATTTCATTCCTCAGCATTTCCTTAAATTAGGTGCACAAACTTATACGAGAGTATTATGAATATAAGAAGAAAGTGCTGAAATTTCTTAAATGATAATTCAACTTGTTAATATTTGATATATAAGAACGATAGATCATTTCAAACTTTATCGGTATTATGTATTTGATTTTTACGAAAATCAGCAGAATGTGATTCGAAACTCTTGGCCCCGGTAATGTAAATCATTTTCGTTGATCGAATAAATTTCAAAGAGATAAAACTAAGTTTTTAGATGAAATATTTATATTCTTTGAATATATTATATTATACTTATAAATATATATATATATATATATATATATATATATATATATATATATATATATATATATATANNNNTATATATACATATAGTTCTATTTCCTTTACTTTCGTTTCCTTTCCAACCTTTCCTTCACAGTTTTGATACTTACTATAGGATATCTATCAACATTGAGAAACACTGTGATATCATTTGCGTATACTTCGCTTACCATCCTGCTATCTCAAAGTTAGGAGCTTCCTTACTTTCAACTATCGACAGTTCTCGATTGCCGAGCGTACCCTCGCGAATAGTTCGACGTGCGATATCGTCGAAGCGAATTTGCTGGATGCCTAGACGCATTGCCACATATTGGAAATTCTTTAAGTGCATTTGACGGACGATCTCTCTCTCTCTCTCTCTCTTCCCTGCTACTTTCCCATTCCCGATCTACTTCCCACTCTTTATATTTTTTTTACTATCTTGAATCGAATTCGACGAATAAAGAATATATTTTAAACAACGTATTCAATCATTTTATTTATAACATACCATCCTAATCGATTATTATTATTATTATTATTATTATTATTATTATTATTATTATTATTATTATTATTAAATACGATTGTATAACTTTTTCCTAACTTATTCTATTACTTTCATTGTTTATGTTAAAACAATGCAACGATAAATATTGTAGGTACTATAAAATGATAATACTAACGTAAGTTCTTTTTTCCAAATAATGAATTTTTGTGTCCCTACGTTTATAACATTTCTTTTTCTTTTTATCACCACATGATCTGTCACTCGTTAAAATATTTATATGAAAACGTGTGTCTACCTAAACCTATTGGGTAAAGTTAACGACAAAACTGCTGGAGATCCGCAATGCGTTAAACAACCCCCGTTGAATTACGAAATATTCGGGAAGACGATGCATTCTACTGTTCGAAAAGAAAAATAAAGAAAGAAAGAAAAGAAAAGAAAAAGGAGAAAGGGTAAAGAGGGAGAACTCGAAGACCGCAGGTGTAACGACCGCAGCAAGCGGTCGATAAAATGTACGCGGCTTTTCGGTGCGAGGTGGAACCGAGAAAACCTTCCTTTCTCATCCCTCCCTTCTCCCTCTCACCTCATTCTTTTTCTCTCTCTCTCTCTCTCTCTCTCACTCGCCTTTCCTCCTTCTTCCATCTTCCTTCCTACTGGTATGGATGTCTCGATAAAAAATGCAGCGATCACGTTTCGGCAGAGACTTTGAAATCCGTAAACCGTTGCCTCGTCTGGAGGATTTCTCGTTTTCTTCGTACGTACCAACGAAACAGGGATCCCTTCTCTCGTCACCAAGAAGAAGAGATATCCATCCTCATTACCGTGCCGATATTTCTCAGCTTCTCAAGGGACACGTTCGATCAATCGATCGACGAACGTATCGATCGATTGACGGACTTTTCAAAGCCTTTTACTTGAACACTTACATACACCATTCTCATGGGAGTGTTTAAACAATAAATTGGGATTTCTATCGAGGAATATAAAAACTTGCTGAATTATGCATTTATTTTTTTTTTTTTCTATTTCAATTTAACACTATATTTACGAAACATTTTTGTATACTTATTTCAACATACACCCTTTAAATTAGTAGGGTAAAAGAAAATATACATTTTTTTTTTTGGTTATATATCTTGGACAAAATTTGAAGGAAATTAGAAAGCTAAAGGGGAAACAATTTTAAGTATATTATATTTATACCATTGAATCAATAAAAGTAAACATAAATTGGTGAAAAATAATRATAATGATTTTGTGGTCATTTTATATATGAACCCGTAGTGACTTGTTTTAATAGTCACAAGAGATGATAATAATAATCGATTCGTACACAAAAAACACGTAACGCATAAAAATACTTATTGAAATGTTTAGTGATACAAACAATTTCTGCATCAAGATTTACGCAATAGAGATATAGTAACTTGGATCGTGTTTTACTTTGTTTATTGTTAACACGATCTATTATTCTTTTTGTTTCTGTTATCCTCTATAATACAGTTGCCGGATAAATTGTTCGAATCCCCCCCGATGCTATCAAGTTACCAACAGCAACAGGAACAGCAACAACTGCATCAGCGAGTTACACTCTTCTGAGATAACCTCATCCACCTTCGTTTACGAAGGACCTTCCAGGAACAATCGCTGAACGAACTCGAATTACTGGGACGAGTGATCGAACGAGTAAGTATCTCTGACTCTCATCCTTCTTGATTCTACCTTTTTTATTTTTCGAACTTCGATATTCTACACCTTAAATGGGCAAGAAACGTAGAAATCGATTCGCGGTAAAACAATCGACCAAAGAGAAAATTAGAGTGAGTGAGAGAAAAAAGAGAAAAACTAAAACAATTTCTTCGTGTTACGATCAAAATTTCACGTTTTGCTAGATCTTACAATCTTACCATGAGAATCGAGGCTGGTCGATGTTTTACTGACTTTTGGTCGATCGTTACTGACAATCAAATTCGTTAGATTTCCACTAAGAAAGAAACAAAAATGAGGTACATAATTAAACAAATTATTTTCTTTTGTTTTCTTGACGACTAGTCTTTCAAACGCGACTTAAAGTTTTTAGACATAGTTGAACTTCTTGAAATTAAACGTATAGACAGAATATTTAATTTAATACTGACTTACATACAAAGAAATGAGATATAAGTTTTAACAAATGGACAAAATAAATTTTTTGTTTGAAATTCAATAAAAGAAATAAGCTGATAAAAGATTTGAATAGGAATAGAATAAATGTTTATAAAAGTTCGATTAATGAAAAAGGTAGATAAGTACCGATTGAAGGTACAGAAAAAGGACAAAGGGTTCTGACTGACAAAAGGTGTTCTGCGGCACGCGATGCGATTGTGCAGTTCCAACGATAAGAGCGGAGCGTTGCCTGAGACGGAGATAGAAAGTGGCTGCTGTGGAAGTAAAAACAAGTGGTGCCTTGGCGAGATGAGGTTGATGCAAAGGGTAGCGATCAGTGGACTTTTGTCCGTAATACTGATCGTTCTCTTGACTGGAACGTTTGTCACCAGACGTGACCTAACCACTGTCGTTGAAAGAGGTGTTGCACCGGAGGAACGTGCGGAACAAGTAAATCCAGCTTGGATCCAGGACAATGCTGTACCTGGTGGTGGTGGTGGCGGCGGCGGAGGTGGCGGTGGTGGTGGTGGCGGAGGTGATGATGGTGATGGTAGTGTTGGTATATTTGGAAATGTTGTTGGTGCTGCTAATGCTGTTGCTGGACCAGGTTTACCTCGGGAAGAGAATAGAATCGAAGATAAACAAGATCGACGAACCTTCAACCTCGTTAGGACGGTTCATAGGCCTTCCGAAGTTACGGTTGCCGTAGCACCACCACCCGCACCACTTCCAGGTCCTTACGTTGTTAAACCACCAAATCCACCTTTGGACGATGTCACTCATCAACGTCGTGAGAAAATCAAAGAGGTGAGTAATTGTCAACGGTAATTATATTATTGCAAATAATATAATCGCAATTTGAATATTTACTATCGTATAATATAATACATATTTCGTTTTTAAACGCGTTTCATTTATTTTTAAGTTAAACGTTCTCTTTAAACGTCAATAAACTAATTTTACAAAGATATCAACATGAAGAATCTTATCGGTTTATTAAATCGTAAACCGATTTGTTATTCTTCTAGTTTAATAAATTCTCTCATGTATGAGGAATAAGAAAGTTTGGCTAGTGGAAAGGTATATTTTAGTAGTACCCCAGCAGCCAAATTTTATGCGCACCAACGAACGGGTTTATGTACTTAAAGCGTTATCGCGCTCCGCTATTAACTTCATAAGTATGGATTTGAAACAGTAACTTTACGAGGCATCGTCCTACACTCGGTCGAAAGTTCGAATCGAGCTTTTCGACCTCTCTCGATGAATCCTACTTTATTCCATCCTCTCCAACCGAAGCAATCTAGTGAACCGAAATCATCGATTTCATTCGAAATCTTATTCCATTTGTTTGTTGCGCTTTACGAGTATTAAATACGATTCATGTTACAATGTGTTCGATTGACAATTAAATTCGTATTGTAATTTTTGCAATATTATTTTCTTAGAAGAAAAAGATAACTACATTTAATAATATCTATCAATTAGTTACTTAGAAATACTATTAAATCTCGAAAAAATCGATGATAACAAATTTCCAAGATTACTTCGGATAAAATCGGAATTCTTATAATAAACATTTCTTATCGTTGGATCGATAGATAATCTACATTGATTAAAAAGATACTTTTCGTATCTTCTCTGATGATGCTAACGAATACTATAACGGTAAGTAAAAAAATAATTCTTTACATCTTTTTATTTTTGTTTTTTGTTTTTTTTGTTTTTTACTAAAGTATAAGAAAAGAAGAAAAAAACAATCCGAGGAAATGATGAAGAAGAAAAAGAAGATGAAAGCACCAAAGTAAAAGGTAGTCAAAGTTCTGTGTTTTACGATTTCCATATAAAAGAATGTCGTGACCGAAATAAAATTTCATAACTTTAAATAAACTTCATTCGTCCTCGGTATTGTCTTACAAATAAATAATTTTTATTTAGAAACGTTAAAATATCGATAAATAATTCTATTTGAACAAAAAGTAGAAAAAGTATTTTATTAATATTATTATTATTGACGTTTATGATTTATAATATTTATACATATATATTTTGTTTTCTAAAAGAGATAATTTTTTAGAAATATATTTCATATATTTGTTTAATTCAATTTAAAAATATAAAAATCTCGTATTAATATAACTATTATCATTAATTTATTACTTATTTAATATTAATATTAAAATCTTATATTGATATCATTATCTGTTTCACAAAATTTTGTTTTTTAGTTTTTTTTAAATTTGAAAAATATATTTCATATATTAGCAAAATCCAAATTAAAAATATGAAAGAATGTCGTAGTAGATAAGAAAAAAAAATGATTAATAAATCGATTTTTGCCGATTCTACGAACGTGCCAAGGTAAACTAAGATAATAGCGTAATTAACTTAATTTACGATCTCCAATTTCCACTTATTGTTAGATGGGAATTCAATGGACATTCGTTCTTCCTTTCCTACATTTATGATATTCTCTCTCTCTCTCTCTCTCTCTCTCTCTCTCTTTCCTTCCTAATTTTTTGTTCTTTTTTCCTTCTTTTTACTTCCCTCGCAGTCTTCGTGTCGTTATTTTACTCGTCGCAAGGAGACGACCGGCTGAGTCGTTCGTTTCTTGCTTGAAAATTATAGTTCGCTACGCGTCCTTCCTCCTTCGAAGAATGATTTAAGCGTTTGCCGAGTCAACAGAATTAATCGCAACGTCGATCCTGAAAAGACGAATAAGAAATGCTCCTCGATGTTTCGAGTTCTTGCTTTAACTCGTGTCACCCAGAAGCACGCGCCTTTCAAGAACATTTTCTTTCTTATCAAAATTCGATTAAATAAAACTACGATGATAATAAAAGGAACGTCTTCGAAGACGTTTTATTATCGAAATTTTTATGATTGAGAAAGTAAGAACAAAAAATTATTCTCTTTCTATCCTTTAATTCATATTTTACTCCTCTGAAAAATGTTCATTTCTTTTTTATACTTTCCTTAACTTGAATTTATCGAAGTCATTAATAAAGAAATCGTTGTTAAATAAACGTCAGAAATTTATTTAAATTTTTTTCTTTTTTTAATAAATTAATCTTCTCTCTCTCTCTCTCTCTCTCTTGATATCATTGAATTAAAAAATTCATTCGAATTAATGAAATAGAATTATATTCAATAGTTACAATTTATCAAACTACCAGGTATATATTAATTAATATGAACTAAGTATTTAAATTTTGAATTTGCATTTAATAAATATGCATCATTAAATTCATTTCTTTCGATTTCATTGATGTACGAAAACAGATCGTATAAAAAGAAAATTATTCATAAAATTAATTAAACAAAATTTGTTATAATTTCAAAATATAATAAAGTGTATACCTTTAATTTTATATTTTTACTTTATGTTTTATTTAATAAATTAGTTAGAACTAATCGTACAAATAAATAAAAGAATCGTGAATACTATGAAAGAAAGTTGAATAAAAGAAAATGATTCTTCTTTCTCGAAAATTGCGTACGATTGACTTTAACTTGTACTATAAAACTTACATAGGTTGTATTCAATTAAAAGGACGATATTGCGCGAATTCGCACGAAACTTTTACTTTTCATTGTGACAAAGAGTAGACGGAAATTAAAAGGGGATCCTAAGGGTGGAAAAAGAAATTGACGCGAGAGTCTTTTGTGTTTGTCCATTGGTTCCAGTATATCGATATTCGAGTATGGGCCAGGAAAGAGGGAATGGGAGTATCGAGGATGTGGTAGTAGTTACTGTAACATTGATGGTGGTGTTTGAACCATAAAGAAAAGAACCGATGGTAAAAACCGATTGCGAGCTTGGGATTAATGAAAGAACACAGAGAATTCGACGTTAGGAATTTCGAGAATGAGTCTTTTGTCATACGAGTTTAAATCAAAAAAGGAATCAAAAAATGACAAAAGAAATGACCAATGACAATCAACTTTGAAATGAAATAAAAATAAAGAACAAAAAAAAGTAAGTGCAATTTTCGTGTATAAAAAAATAAAGTAAATTACGAGTAATTTTTATAACGTGAATGTTTTATAAAAAGCAAAAAAAGAACAAATAAATGGCAATTAACTTTCAAAAGACAAAAAAGAAATTGTAAAAAAGAATTTGTCGTACGAATTCAAAGAGTAAAATAAAGCGAATAACGATGAAACTAATTGTAAGAAGAAATGTATAAAGTATAAGTTAAAAAACGAAAAATACAGAATGACAAAAAAATATAAAACAAATCAATCGGTTCGTTAGCTTTTAAAGTTACATCCCCAGTCATCTATTTTCCCGTTTCATTAAATAAAAAATCACTCGTATAATTTACTTATCGCAGAGGTGGCGAAGTCTTTCTTTCTTTCTTTTTTTCATCGATCGAAGAAAAACAGATTAATTTGGATAACGAAGCGATCAAATTCGAATGGCTGAGGATGGGGTAGGTGGGAAGGGAGTGGAATGTTCAAGAGGAATAAAATAAAAGATGGAAATGTAATTCTTTGAGAAGATTTTATTCTTTAACGGAATAGCTAACATAGTTAATTCCGATAGTATAGAAGAACAATGATGAATTGCATTGCTTTTGACATGGGGATGTTTTACAACAATGTATATTTTCAATAACGATAAGAATTCGTGTAATTACTTTAATAAAAAGTATTAAAATGAATATCTATGATGATTAAGGAAGATAGGGAGGGGGATGGGACGCTGGGTGGTAGTAGTTGGAATCCAAATTGCAAAGTAAAAGAAAAATCTTCGAGAGATAACGAGTCAATCACATTAAAGGTAGTACTTCAAGATTTCTATTTTGAAACAACGACCTATTTCATCCCTTTTTGTTAACGACGTACTTTATTCTCTCATTTTATTTATTTATTTGTTTAGTTCTTTCTCTTTCTCTAATTTCTCTAGTAAAATCTTATCTCTCGTTGTATATTTCCATCGAAATAACTATAAGAACATTAATAATAAATACATGACATCGTTGAGATTTTTACTCCCATTCTTAACAATCTACAATCAATCGTCATTTCGTAATTAAAAATTACTGCGATTGCTGTTAGATTTTCGAGATCTGTTCAAATATATATATAAGTAAAATATCTATTCTTGTGATCTTAATTTTCGTAAAACTTCGATTAACAATTTGTTAATATCCTAAAAGTTACGATTAAAGATATACTACGGTAAGACGTTAAGTTTGTAAGTTTTACGAAGGGTAAGCCATTAAAACTGCGGCAAAGAGTGTCAACTGAATTTTACGATATTTTTTCTCTTTTCTTTTCTTCTTCTTCTTTTTCTTCTTCTTCTTCTTTTCCTTTTTTTTTCTTGTGTTATATTCTTTTTTCTTTTCCATCTTTTCGTACTCCGAAGAAACTTTCAGTCCATGGAGATCATAAATTTCTTTACGTCTTATGTGTTTCTGATGAGTGACTCGTAACGTTCTTTTGCAATCTCATAAAGCCATCTTGTTTTAACTTTTAAAAAGAAAAAGGAAAGAAAAGCAACAACAACAATAACAACTATTACAATAGTTTGAACAAGTTTCTTCGACGTTTGCTGTAATGTCATTAACGTAATCGAAACTATGTCACATCAACATAGTTTTTTCTTTCTCTCTCTCTCTCTCTCTCTCCCCCTCTCTCTAAAACATTTTGCAATTACGAATCGCAATGCAGGATGAGAGCTGTGCATACTAATCGACACACCTTTTGTTCCCATTAGTAACATTGGGTTAAATGGCGTTTCTAGTTATTATTGTTAATCGATATAACGATCCTTCGAGTCTAGGGAATTGCAATGTCACGAA